TAGGTTTGTGTATGCAATTGTATACTGCACAGAATTATTGCTAATTTTTTTTAATACGGAAAATGCAAAAAAAAAAAAAGAAAGAAAAAAAGCAAAAAAAAAGCAATACACTACTGGAAATATCAGTTTCCTTCTGAGGAAGATTCATTAAAAACTGTCTGCATATTTCCAAGACTATTTTCTCTGCCTGAAGGCTGAATTATAGCATGCTGTACTTCATTTACAGGATGCACACAGCTGAGTATAGCCCGGTCTTGCCTAGGCTAAATAAAAATATTTGCATATCTTATTAATAATACAGAAAAACTAGCCTTCTTTTAAGATGTAAGAAATTTCAACACACAGTTCTGGTTGCAAGGCTTGGCAAAAAACAAGACGAAGTTTCTTCAAATCTAGTAAATAACATGGATGCAACATTTAGACTCTTTTAATATATTCACTACACTACAGTCATAGTGCAAACGTGATCTGGTTTTTTCTCTCTGTTCCATTCATCTCATTCTCAGTTCATGAATAAAGCAGGCTTATATCATTCCTAATTGTACCAGTGTTAGCTCTGTCTCACTTAAGCCAATGGTATTTAGTAGCAGTTGCAAGGGTTGGATAAAATCTGTTACACTTCGCTGTCTGAAGCAAAGTCTGGTCACCAGGAATAAGAGTTGTATGGTTTCAGTGTGATGCAGGAAGGCCTCCAACCCTCTGGTTCCTGGCAAGCTTTATTGACCACCATGGTCTTCCTAAAAATCTAGACTCTACAATGTTAGCAATCTTTTAAAATACTACAGTACAGAAGTGTTTGACTGCTTAGCCAGCAATATAGGTCGTTCTTGGCTTCTTGGATTGAAATCCTGCATAAACTGATTCCTGAGCAGATTATACACTGGGTGCATGTGCAAATGGGCAGCTGATGTTTCTAAATGTGTAAACATAGTAACCTCCATTTCTAAAGTTACAAACATGGGCTTGTCTTTGAATAACTTTGAGGCCAGATTATTAAGCTATTTATTGCTGTTGTTCTAAAAGACTTTGCAATGCTTTAAGCTAGAGCAAAACTTTAATTTATGTGATACCTGGAAGCTATATGAGTCTTGATGCAGAACAACTTCACCTGAACCCTAGTAAGATGGAGTAGTTATGGGTGGGTTCCTCTATATCCAGGAGTTTATCTTTGACTCTGGATGGGTTTGCACTATCCCAGACATACCTGGTATACAACTTGGTGATCCTCTTGGACCCACAGCTGCTGCTTGAATAGCAGGTGGCAGCCATGGCCAGGAGAGTCTTTGCCCAATTTCCTGTTGTGTGCCAGTTGCACCCTTCCTGGACAGGGAGGCCCTCCACTCTGCCACTCATGCTCTGATCATCTCTTGACTGGACTATTGCAATGCACTGTACATAAAGCCACCCTTGAAAAGTATACAGAAGTTTCATATGGTGCAGAATGCAGTTGCATAAGCCATTCTGAGGAATCCAATGAAGGGCACATCTAACACCATTATTCTGTGAACTGCATTGGGTGCCAATTTGCTTCTCGATCCAATTCAAGGTGTTGGTTATTATCTATAAAACCCTACATGGCATAGGACCAGGCTATCTACTGAACTGGCTTCACCCCATCACATCATCACATCCCACTTGTTCAGGAAGGGAAGGTATGCTACAGACCCCATCAGTCAAAAAATGTTTAGGAAGAGGATCTTCTCTGCTGCTGCCCCTGCTTTGTGGAACATCTTGCTCCCTGAGGTGAGGAAAGCCCTCATATTTTGGCCTTCCATAAAGGGGTCAAAACTTGGCTGTGTAGCCTTGCATGAGGGACACAGAACCCCACAGAACCATGGGGCTGGAATTCTTCACCTTCTGAATTTTTTATAGTTGTTTTTATAATTTTACATTTTTTAATCCTAAATTATTTTTATTTTAATGTTTAATTTTATTAATGATATTGTACACCACCCAGAGATGAGCAGTGAACAAATGAATGAATGAATAGGTGTTAGAAAGTTTGAATGAGCAGCAAAGATATAATGGCACTTTGATAAAAATTATAGCAAGGTGTTGTTTAGAAAAAGAGGTATAGCTGTTGTCAGCATCCATTGACTTACATTTAGAATTTATGCTGAGGACATGGTTAAATTACTTCCTATCCTTCTGTTTCCCAAAGTAATTATTATTATAGTTGCTTGCACAGTTAGTCAGATGTTTAGAGTAGATTTGGCATTTTTCTCACCCTATCAAGTCCTTCCCAAGAGTATGATATAGGCAGATGTTGTTTTTTGATGATGTTAAAGATCTTGTCACAGGATGAAAACTGTTCTAGGTAAAGCTGTCTTTTAAAATTGATTGTTGGTGGTTTTGTCAATGCCAATGGTGTTCAAGTGGTGCTCCAGTTGTTTTGGTTTTGTGCCCAAGGCATCTATTATTATTGCTACTACCTATGCTTTTTTTTTAAAACCACAGTTGTTCTATTTCTATTTGCGGGTCTTTATATTTTGTTATTTTCTCCAGTTCTTCCTCTTCTATTCTGTTGTCTGCACATATTGCCATGTCCACTAGCCAAATTTTTTATCTTTGTTGATACAATTACCTAACAACATACCCAACAATAATTGGGTATTATGGGGCAAGTGCCTGTCTCAATTCTAAAATTCCAGAGAACTTAATTTTTCATTACTCTCTCTGTTTTATGGTCCCACCAGTTCTTGCCTCCAGGCAAATAATATTTTTTGTAGAACTTCCAATGCACTATTGTTGCTACTTTCTCATTCCATTGTTTATAATCTGTCTGTGTCATCTTCGGGCAGCAGCTAATCAGGTGATCCACTGTTTCTTTGCAGAGACAGCACTTGCTGACTGTTGCTGTCTTCTCAATTCTGGCTTTGTATGCATTTGTTCTTAGGACTTAATCTTGTGCAGCCAGAATTAGCCCTTCTGTCTCTTTCTTCAACTTTCCTGCTCTTAGCCATTAGCAAGTATTATTATCTGTTTTCTCTGCTATTTTTAAATGTACTAGCCATGTAATGTTTTTCTGGTCTTCATTTGATCTTTCTTGTAGGCCACTTTGGTCAGTAGGCTTGATAAATACTTCTTTCAGTGCATCTTCTTCGCTATCTTTTAGATATTCTTTCAACGCCCTTTTTTTCTTCTTCAGCTGTCTGATGTACTTGCAACATTCCACACCCACTTATTTGCATTTGTAAATAGATCCTGTCAACATTGCTGCCTGGAGGAAGGGCATAATTCATTGTTATTATTTTTCTGGTCTTCCTATCCAGGACCTTCAGTTTTACTTGAGTCCAGTCCACTATTCCAGTTATGTACCTAATGACTGGAATTGCCCAGGTGTTAATTGTCTTGATGATATTTCATTAACTGAGTTTGGACTTTAAGATTTTTTCACTCTCTTGATATATTAATTTCTAAACTTTTTCTTGATTTCTGTGTGTTTGATGTCAGCTTAAAGGATGCCTATATATTCATCTAGATCAGTGATGGCGAACCTTTTAGAGACCGAGTTGCCCAAACTGCAACCCAAAACCACTTATGCATCGTCGGGTGCCGGGTGGGTGTGGCCCATTGAGTAGGTGTGTCCCATTGGGTGGGCGTGGCTGCAGTGGTAACAGCAGACTGGGTAGGACTAAAAAGTTCAATCAATCAATTCCAACTTTGCAAGATCTTTTTTTTCCCGCGAGAAGTTGAAATTGACTGATCGATTGAACCTTTTTTTTTTTGTACACGGCAGCGGAGGCCTAAAGCGAAAAGGTTTTATAAAACCCAGCTGAAGGCCTAGGACTGGAGTGACGCCGCGTGTACCCACAGAGAGGGCTCTGAGTGCTGCCTCTGGCACCCGTGCCATAGGTTCACCACCACTGATCTAGATGTTTGATGTTTTTTCTTTCAGTTTTCACTATTTTTCCCCATCTGAGGTGAGCGTGGCATATTTGTCCAGGTCAAATTCTACTGCAATATCTTTATTATAAATATGGACAGTGTTGAGTAGTGATTCTTTTTCAGAGAGTGTTTTCCCATACAGCTTCAAAACATCCATGTGAAGGAGAGGGGATAATCTGGCAGACGTTTTTGACCTAAGTTGATGTAGGAGATGACCCGGCTGACCCTGAGGGAAAGATCAAATGCATCATAAGTCTTGAGTCCTTGTGTGCCCGCAAGTGATTTAAGTGCAGCCCACCTTGAATGCCTCTCCTATCTCCCACTCTTTCCTTTGACTGTTAGTTGGTCAGATTCTTGTAGAGAATTTAAGCTTGCAGTAAATCTTTATATCATTTAAACTTCCTAAATCTCCTGATTTCTCTGGTGCCTGACAGTTATGCAGTATTATTGATAGAGGAATCAGTGCAATGACAAATGGTAACAGTGATAGTGAGGCTCCTTAAAAGGTTTCTCTCTTGATATCAACCTCTCCAATCTACTACTATTGACCAGCAAATGTGTCTCTTTGTCCCATTGCACAAAACTTTTGACATTTCTACTGACTGTTGTTATTTCTAGGCCCTTGATTATCAAATAATTTGACAAGTAGTTGAATGCCTTGTTCTAATCAGTCCATAGTATATTCAACTTGGTTTTCCTTCTCATGCAGTTTTCCAAAATATTACATATTTTTAATATAAAAAATTAACATTATTTAAAAAATTATCCTTGTTTCATTCATTCATTCATTCTGCCTGCTATTCACTTATTTTGAATGGTTTGGATATCCAGGACACATATAATCAAGAGTCATATTTACAATTATACTATAGTTTACTGTATTTTTTTTTCAGTTTGTTCTGCAAATGTGTTTGTAGCAAGAGCAATAAGGCTCATTCTAAGGCGCACCTGCTTTCTATGGTTGGAGACAACTTCTCCAGGGAAGACCTTCCCACACCAATCAGCCTTTTCTCTACCCCCACCTTGCTGAACTTTAATTTAGTCTTATTGTTTGCATTTCCCAGAGGTGGATACCTGATCACCTAGGAAGCCCCAAGAAGAGCAAATGCCTTACGCACCTGAATTCAATGTGCTTCTAAAATTAGAGGCATCAAATGCAAGGAAAAGGAAAATTAAGCGGCCACGAGTTTTTAGGCCTGTTACCAGATCATCACAGCTTTATGCTAGAACTGAATGTCAGCTGCCTACTTTGCCTTGGTTCTTCTTTTTGTAAGTAATCTCTCTTGCATAGTAGTTTGAGTTAGAATGACAAAGTGGCAAATGGTGGAAGGTATACAAGTTGTATGAAGATGATTACTATTTGCTAATACTCTGCTTCCATATTTTACTTTGAAATAATAATACTGAGTTGAGTAGTTATTGTCCTGTGTTTATTATGATTTCCTGGAAGAGGAGACATTATTTGAAAAGCCTGGTATAGAAGTTTTGAACGATTGTAGGCAGTTCTCTGTTTATATTTTGCTTATGTGGTCATAAGCATGTTTCTCATGTCTAATTCCCTTGGTCTGTAATATATGAATAAACAGAATAATAAAGCACAGTTCATTCAAACAGCATGAAAACATTTAATAAAAAGTCAGGGAGAGAAAACAAAATAAAACCAGAATAACATTTATAATGGGAAGGTCTGTATGAGGAGATAGACTTCCAACAGGTGTCTAATAATAGGCATCTCATGGATTTCAAGGTGAGAGCATTTTGGGAAGAACAACATACTTGCCAGTACCCCCAAACTGACACTTTAACTATTATTGCATATTTATAAGGACCTTTATCCTTATGTTGGGAAGCCACTGAAGATCTTGAAGTAGAATATTTTTTTAAATATGGCACATCATTTCTTTGTCTATTACATTGGTTTTTAGTATTTTTGTAGAAGAACGTACCAAAGTGGAGTTTAATAACTCTGTCTTATTTCATTTATTATATTTGGCAAGCTGCAGAAGATAATATGGCTGGTGTCTGATTTAAGAGTCCTGACTTTAATTTTCTTCTTAACTGCTTTTTGATTAAATGGTCTCTTAACTACACAGTTCTTTGTCTTTATTTGGAAATACAGTAACACCAATTTTGTTTCACGGCTGTTATAGTAAGAATGGCTAGAATGGTAGCCTTACTTTTTGGAGTGGCTATGAGAAAGTCAAGGGGTTGTGTTTTGTATGCAAATGTCCTAAATGGGATAAGCCTGAATTGCATATATACTAAAAGGAAAGATCGGGTCTATCCCTGATTAGCTCTATCCCTGTCAATCTTTTTTTTTTTTAAAATCATTTTCAAGAACCTCGGGGACACCATAGGGAGTATGTGAGATAGTTGCATTCTTGTTTAGATGGTTGTTATTTTCCCTGCAATCTTGTTTTTTATGTATTTTTATTTTTATTCTTTTAAATGTTTTAATAGTTGTAATATTGTTTTAGTTGTTGTTGTCTAGAGTCCAGTGACATGGGCCCCATATATGTTTGCTAAATAAAAACCAAATGCAGTGAAGTTTTTAGACAACCAGGAATGCATATTATAATACTTTCTGATCTATTCATCATTTCCAGTAGTCATTAGAATGCAAACAAAATATTACTTTCCCTAGTGCCAGTCTGGCTGTATTCCAGTGGAACAGAAATTGCCTCCAAAAATTGTGAGCGCTCTATCACTGGAGGCCTTTAAGCAGAGATTGGATGGCCATTTGTCTGGAATGGTATAGGATTTTCTGCCTGAGCAGGAGGTTGGACTAGAAGACCTCCAAGGTCCCTTCCAACTTTGCCCTATTCTGTCCTATTCTATTCCACTCTCCTGATTGAGGTGAATATCAAGGCTATCATATCCTATAGCCCAGTACACACAAGCATGGCATTTTAGAAAATTAGCATATCCACATAAAATGTGAATTTAAAATAAATGATTTGCAACAATACTGAACTCTAATGATGTACCATTTTCTAGTCCTGGAGACCTTTGGATAAAATTCAGTCTCTGTAATTATTTGTTTTTTTTAATATTTTGTTTATCTTGTTTTTTACATTTCCCTGAGAGCTAGAAACCTGGTTTTGTTAAATGGCAATAAAGTGTATACTTTGCAGGAACAGAAGCATCAGATTCCAGTCAGAAAACTAGATCTAGATATTGTTAATTAGACATGAGAAGTGCTGAACTGTCAAATAATGGATAGCTAGGGACTTTATTATTGATAACAGTCACTGTTGCTTGGGAAAAAATATTACAACAAAGGAATTTAATTCAGATTTTTCTTGTATCTCCTTTTCCTAAAAACCTCACCTCTTCTAATTTTTTGTTTTTGATAAAATTAACTCTTGTAGTAACATCAGTATCAATTTGGGAAGGGGTTTTAGTGCTCTCCTGAGCATGTAACAAGTTTTTTGTGAATATTTTATGCATAGATTTCTTTTCCACTTTTTTACATTTCTTTGTTTTCTTAGCATCTCTACAAAGCTGGATTATACTTGGAGATATATGTCAAGGTTTTCTCCTGTCAACATGGAACATAATTTGGGCAGATTGGTTTGGTAATAACTATGACATGAAGATTATGTCAACAAAATAAGTGTTGTAAATGATTTGGTAAATAGATTCACAACTGTGTTATATAGTAGAATGCTAATCTGATGGTCTTAGGTTCCAAATCCTATCTCAATTTATCAAACTAAAGTAAGAAAATATTCATATTTATACAATTTTAGGGTTCTTCTTTCTGCAAGGCAGAAATACACAAGGTAGATGAGTAAAAAAATTGCAGATTGTCTTTGTGTGGTGACCACATGGTTCTGTTGCCTCCACTGGACCTGCCAGAATACAGCAATAATTATGCACCATCCTGTTATTATCATTACTGTTATTATGGTATCCTCCTGGCATTTATGCTAGACACCCATCTTTGATTAAAAGGTAGGGGCCTTTAAGAGGGGGAGAAGAGAAAAAAAGAGAGAGGGTGTCTTCTCCTAGCACATTAATCTATCATGAGCTAATGTGTTTTGCCCATTCTGTTCCTTTGTACTATCTCCAAGGCTCGTCGGCGCGGGTGCACGCACACACACAGAAACGCACACACACACACACACACACACACACGCACACACGCACACGCACACGCACACAAACACTCACACTCTCTTCTTGCACTTCTGCCACCGATCTCTGCTGGTTGACTGGGCCTGACTCAGTCAGCAAGAGAAAGAAAGACAAACGGGCAGACAGATCAACGAAGACAGAGGAACAAAGCCGAGACCACAATGGGAAATACACCATCTCAAGGCATGTCAATGTTCATCCATTCTTAAGTAGCAGGTATTTTTTTTATTGGTGTTTTTTTTTTTAATCCTTCCTTTCTCTTTCTCAACCTGCTGATTCTGTAGGATGCTTTTGCTGCTATGGTGATGCTGTTAGCATATAATGTTAGTCTTTGCTTCAAATGTCAACATATGAATTGGGCATTATTCTTTTTGATAAGGAAAAGGGGGTGTGGTGGGTAGAGAAACTCATCCCCCCCCCCCCCCCGCAGCTTGTGATGGAGAAATAAGGTAGAATTCTACCAAATTTCTGATTTAAGTGTGAACCAGGAAGGAAAAGATGTTAAGGTACATCAGAGTTCTTGAGCGTGCACTGCTTTCTTTGGGTCTGTATATTCTCCCACCCTGTTGTCAAGGCTGCTGAGCTCCAAGGAGATTAAGTAGCTACAGAACCTATTGTCCTAGCAATATAGATCGGAAAAGAGCTGGGCCTGGGGGGGGGGGCAGAGGCAAAAGGAAGATGGGTGGACAGGTCTTGATAGATATTTGAGTCCAATTATTAAGATTTTAACCACCTGCCTTAATTTGCGCTTAAGATTTACCGGGATGCTCTCAGTTTGTAAATGGTTGCCTTGCTATTTTCCCTCTTTCCTTCCACACCCACTTAATTTCTCATGAAGAGTAAGGCTATTGCTGGCCTGGTTTGTTAAATGATGGAAACAAAGAAGCTTAGGAAAGAGAAAGTAAGTGAGTGAGAGAAGAAAGAAAGAAAGAAAAAGAAAGAAAGAAAGAAAGAAAGAAAGAAAGAAAGAAAGAAAGAAAGAAAGCAGAGGTTTTGAGTCAAAGAGGAGGGTGTGTGTGTGCATGTGTGTTTCAATAGCATGAATGATTGCAGGGAGGAAAAAATCTTCAGATTTCAGGTGTGATTAAGAATCTGGGGGGGGGGATGGTTGCAGCAGTCAGAGCATTCCTATAAAATCACTAAATTGGTACAACTCACAGATGTGGGAGAAGAGGTGAATGAATATCAATTGCCTATGGAATGATGGATGGTTAAGATGAAGATGGTTTATACACAACAAATGCAACTTGTATGCATATATGAACATATCTGAAATGTTTGGTTAGTCATGATTATTGTATTTGTCCATCAAGGCTTTCTCTTCTTACTTCATCCCTACCACTGAGCAATCATGTGCAAACCTCTATCAAAGAAAGGACTTTAACTCCCCCCCCCATGTGTATGTGTGTGTTTGTGTGTGTGCTTGCTTCAAAGAGTGGCATCTTAAGAAACACGTCTAGTATCTGATAAGAGAAATAATGAGATGGAACAGTTACTTGATATTAAGATCAGAGACATCCCACATGGGCAAATTACTTAACTTGTTAATTGTCTTGAATGACAAAAATTCAGGAGCACTTTCTTCTGGTCCATAAATATCTTGCAGAAGAAATGGATATCACCTTGCACTTTTTAGAGGAAAAATAACTCCCCTGCTGAATGAAATTCCCATCCACATGAGGAGCACAGTGTGAGAGGGTTCAGGTCTTTATTGTGCCCAAAATAGATTCAGCTGTAAAAAAAGAATGATCTGCATTAAAAATAAATATGCAACCAGCTTTTTAATAACTTCATTTGTAGTGTTGTGCTATTCAGCATATAGCAAGTTTTGAGTGGGATTTAAATACATTTGCAACAGAAAAAGCTTGAATTTATCTTCTTTTAAGGATTAAAAAAAATAGAAGAAATTTGCATGGGAGGCAAAAATCTAAAAAAAGACTTCCAATGGCAAGATTTTATTATGGTTATGGGTTATCCTTGAAGGAAGCAATAGAGAAAAACATGATGTTGATATTTCCTTCTTGTATGCATGTGGTTTGGCCTGTAACCAGGATTGTCCACTCTGAAAAAGTTTTGTATTTTGCCATTTCCAGCTGCGATTGTCTTTTTCAAATGTGTAGTTCAATCTG